GTATGCTGTAAAGCCCTGTGAGGCAAATTGTGATTTGTGATATTGGGCTTTATAAATAAAATTGATTGATTGATTGATTGATTGATTGATTGACTTCCCTCTCCTCTAAAAGCCTCCTCTCTCCTTGACTCCTCCGAGTGCATTTAAAGAAATGAGACTTCCTACAAGATGGCGAGTCTCAATCGATTTCTGGGTCAAGTGATCGAGGATAGAGGACGGATATTGGGATGAATCCCTTGTCTCTGTTTGTCCTGAGACACTGGTCTGACCTGTGAAGCACTTGTCCTGTCTCTGTATTTCCTTCAGGATGGAGCGAATTAAATCCAGACAGCAGAAGTTCCGGCGAGGAAAAGAGAAGATGTTGAGTTTGACCCAGGACAGCTTACATACTGATGGTCTGTAGACACACCTCTGTTGCTGTGGTAAAGATGCGGTAGCTGTCAATCCCAGAACGTGTGTGTGTGTTTGTGTTCATAGGTCAGGAAAACAAGAAGGGGCAGCGGCAGAAGAAGTGGTGGAGACCCTGGGTAAACCATGCCTCCAGTGAGTCACATGACCTCTGACATCATCACCCTCACCTGTCAGAGCCGGTGTGTAACTGTGTGTCTGTCCGCAGTGGTGAGGAGCGGCGACTACTACCTGTTTGAGACGGATAGTGAAGAGGAGGAGGAGGAGGAGAAGAAGGAGGAAGAGGAGAAGAAGGAGTAGGAGCTACCTGAGAAATCAGCCTTCCAGGTGAGCATCTCATCAGCTCTCTTTAGACAGAGGTGGCACTACAGAGCCGCCATGCCTACCTCCTTCATGACACAGAACCTAACAACAGTGACATCATCATGTGGCTCCAATGTGTGATGTCACACAGCATGATGACATCACAGAATCAAAAGAGACGTGACATTTAACCCAACAGTGTCGTCCTCCAATGTAACATCATTTAGCGTGAGCTCCTGTTAGCTGCTAACTGCTAACAGCTGCTGTTGTCCTTTTTTGAGTTAGCTGCTAACTGCTAACAGCTGCTGTTCTCCTTCTTTGAGTTAGCTGCTAACTGCTAACGGCTACTGTTCTTCTTCTTTGAGTTAGCCGCTAACAGCTGCTGTTCTTCTTTTGTGAGTTAGCTTCTAACTGCTAACAGCTGCTGTTCTTATTCTTTGAGTTAGCTGCTAACTGCTAACAGCTGCTGTTCTTATTCTTTGAGTTAGCTGCTAACTGCTAACAGCTGCTGTTCTTTGAGTTAGCTGTGAACTGCTCACAGCTACATTTTAAATCTCCCACAGCGGGTCGCACACAGAACACATGGTCTAAATGTCACACTTGTCTGTCCATGATTCGTTCTGCCGTCAGTCCCTTTTACACAAAGCATCCTGTCTCTGTCGGATTAAAGGAGACACAACTCCATCTGTCTGTCTGTCTGTCTGTCTGTGTGTGTGTGTGTGTGTGTCTGTCTGTCTGCCTGCCTGTCTGTCTGTCTGTCAGTTTGTGTATCATGCCTGGATAACTGACTCCAGAACAGCAATGAGAGCTCGCAACAACCAGAGGAAACTGTGGAAGAAGAACTCTTCTGAGCAAAGGAGCAGAAAGGAAGAGAGGAGAGGAGGTGAGGAGGAGGAGGTGCTGAAGGAGGAGGAGGAGGTGGTGAAGGAGGAGGAGAAGGAGGACGTGTCTTCCTATAGACTAGAGGTTCATGTCTGGTGGGTTCATTTTGACCACAAATGTGTGGCTTTACGTCCAAACACATGTATAACTGTGGACACGTTAAACTGAGGAGAAGGTCAGTCCGACTGGTTTTATTGTTTCATTGAAAGGTTTGTGCTCTGATCAGATCAATTTACTGAGAGACAGGAAATTATAAAAATAATAAAAGTCAGAAGAGATCACAACAGGAAGTCCTAAACATACACTGATGTGATGATGGTGATGATGATGATGATGATGATGGTGGTGATGATGATGGTGGTGGTGGTGATGATGATGATGGTGGTGGTGATGATGGTTATGGTGATGATGGTGAAGATATGATGGTGATGATGATGATGATGATGATAATGGTGATGGTGATGATGTGATGGTGATGGTGATGATGTGATGGTGATGATGGTGGTGATGATGATGATGTGATGGTGGTGATGATGATGATGATGGTGGTGGTGGTGATGATGATGATGGTGGTGATGATGGTTATGGTGATGATGTGATGGTGATGATGATGATGATGATGATGATGGTGATGGTGATGATGTGATGGTGATGGTGATGATGTGATGGTGATGATGTGATGGTGATGATGTGATGATGATGATGATGGTGATGATGATGATGATGGTGATGATGTTGATGATGGTGATGATGGTGATGGTGGTGATGGTGATGATGTGATGGTGAAGATGGTGGTGATGATGATGATGGTGGTGATGATGATAATGAAGATGTGTGTGAGTCCACAGTGTTACACAGGAAGTACATGTAAAGCCGTGTGTCGTCTGCATGTTGCTGTAACCAGCAGGCTGACTGTGACTCCTCCCCCTGTCCTGCAGTTGAAGCTATAGAAGTGACCGAGGAGGCGGAGGAGGATGGAGATGAAGAGGAGGACAAAGAGGAGGGACCAGGTAACCGCCCAGGACGCCACAGCATGTGATGTAGTCAGAGTGTCATTCTCCACTTCAACAGATCACATGACTAGGGTTGGGTACTGTTCATAATTGAATCGATACGGTACCGGTACCAAACGGTACCTTATTTTGGTACTTTTTAACCCTATGGGCCCTAGGCCTTTTTGGGGTATTTTTCTTGCCTTTACTTTTAAGCTCATGTCACAGTCATTATAAAGGCTACATACACATGCTATATCTTGTTTTTTTCAGGACAATCTGGGCTAACCAGATTTGCCATCATTTCATGTCCTTCTATGTGCCTGTATTTTATATTAATTTTATATCAATGAAAAAACTAAATTCTTACATTTTTACATGTATCTCACCACAGCAAGTTGGAAGTTGACATATTCTGCCATATATGAAGAGGGGAGACTCTCTGGAATCTGGCAATATTAGAACCATGATGGTGGGACATTCTGTCACTTCACAGCTGTCCAAAACATGTGGTTTGTTCCAGGCGGACATAATTGCCAGTATTTTTTCATTATTATTGCAAGAAATTCCATTGACTCATTCACAAGTCAAAAATGTGTTTTATCTAAAAGAAACATGCAATATTTACATCTAAGATCATAGAAAAATAGTCAACCAAGTGCAATGATGTCCTCCAAGATAATATTTGCCACTTTGTTTACAGTAAACAAAGTTTGTTGTTGTTTTTCAGTTTCAGTTATATA